CCGCGTTTTTAAGATTTGCACATACACGGTATCCATATACACGTCGACCTATTTTCACTTAAAAAAACATCCCAGAATTGCACAAAAATGGCATTGCGCACACTCTTGACTTTATCCATGTATACTGCTAAAGTCCTAACTAGTAACCTTTATCGCCTTACCAAAATGTCGCCAAACTACCTGTTACCATATTCCAAAGATTATCCCCCAAAATATTACAAGTTGCCTTTAGAGCTTTTAATAGAACCAAAAGCAGAATGTACGAAAATGGCAACGTTTTCTTATTCAAACTCAGGATTACCGATATGGTTTATCTGAAGAATTGTTATGCGCATGATTGCCACAGTTTAGCAAATTTCTGAAAATTTGGCGACTTCTATTAAGGCGGCCGCGATACTAATTTTTTGTATTAATATTTATTAATTTGTAACTAAAAAGAAATAATGAGGTAATGCATTATAGTTTGAATACAGAAAAACATACGTTTTTAATGTGGGAATATTAAACAAAGCGATCTTTTTGAAGAGTGAATATATATAATTCAGCTGACAGAGAAACAACTTTTTTTACTATATAAATTATCTGAAATGAATGTATTAAAGCATGAATTAAATACATTATGATAATACTTAGTTTTGTTCAGCATTAATAAGTGGATTTATTAAACAGAAAAATGGTGATTTCCATAATAGCGGAAGAATCCTAAAGATGATTGATTGAGCTATTAATATCAATTGGTATTGACTGGACCGATGGTTTCTATTGCTTCAATTTGTTTAGCTTTCCAAAATTTTAGAGCTTTCATCGCTGGCTGGCATTTATATACTACGATCATGTCATTCCTTAGTTTCCCACATTTAGTAGCTTGTAGCCTAGCGAATAATATTTTATACTCTAGTATTATATCATTAAACGATAAAATATGTGATCACCGGAAAGCTAAAGACTCACCATTTGAATAGCGAAACAAAATACCTGTAATTAACTTCATATTTATATTCAGAAAACTGCCAAACCAAATGGTTAAACTTGAAACAATTTCGCCTCAAACCGCGCCAGTCTTCATATGTGCCAAAATGGCTTTCAAATACACCGCGCTATGATTGTCAATGTAGATTTTCTATAATGACATCAGTTTTTCTGATAAACAATAATTTAGAAAAAATTTATCTAAAGACAAAATAGCTGAGCTAAAATTTCGGTGAATCTTTACATTATGGTAATTTGGCGATTTTTTTGGCGACTAACCCTGCTACAGCAACTTGCTAGTTTTGTTTTGGACACCATTTTGTTTTCACGATATAAAGGCTTTTTTTTTTTACTCAACATTTTTTCCAACAATCTGCTAGCCGAATTACGCTTATACTAGAACTTTTATGGAACAAAAATGCTTAATCATGACGAAGATTAGATGCGAAATTGGGAGAAAGTGCAGAATCGCAAACTGCTTGCCGCGTTTTTAAGAATTGCACATGCACGGTATCCATGTGCACGTCGACCTATTTTCACTTAAAAAAACGGTTAATCTTTAGAATATGGTAACGTAGTTTGGCGACATTTTGGTAAGGCGATAAAGGTTACTAGCTAGGACTTTAGCAATAATCTGAGAAGTACACAGTTAGAATCACGGATTACTTTTTTTTCAGAGAAATGAGAGATCTTGAGACATGTAATGTAACATTTTCCGGAAAATTCCGATCGTGATTTTAGCTAATAAGCACTTAAAAATATTTTCGCTGCTAAAGTGCAGAATCGCCCACTTATTTGTTTGGCGCTTTTTACAAGAGTAAGAAGAGTTGGATTTTTGTCAATTTTCTTTGACTTTTTAAGCGAAAATAGGTCGATGTGTACATAGATAAAGTCAAGAGTGTGCGCAATGCCATTTTTGTGCAATTCTGGGATGTTTTTTTAAGTAAAAATAAGTCGGCGTGTACATGGTTTATGTGTATGTGTTATTTTGAAAAACGCGTAAGGAGTATGGTATTGTGCACTTTTCCCAATTTTGCAGTGAATATTTGTCATGATTAAGCAGTTTTGTTAGATAAAATTTCTAGCATAAGTGTAATTCGGCCACTATATTGTTGGAAGAAGTGTTCAGTAGATAAAAAGAAAAGAAACATGTCTTTACTTCGTGAAGACAAAATGGCGGCGGGAAAAAAAAAAAGAGGGTTGCTGTAGAAGAGTTGGTCGCCAAATTTTCGCCAAAAAAACACCAAGTTACCATAATGTAAAGATCAACCAAAAAAACATCCCAGAATTGCACAAAAATGGCATTGCGCACACTCTTCACTATATCCATGTACACTGCTTTTTTCTCATAAATTAGAAAAATTTCACGAAAATACATGACAATTTTCTCAATCTTTAAACCCGGTAAAAAGAACATATATGAAATTACCTGATCGCGAAAAAGTATTTACCCTTTCCAAATATGAACATTTCCACATATAAAATAAATAAAATATCCAAAAACTTTTACCTCTAAATCATCTATTACATTATACACGTCACCAACGAATTCATACCGCAAGCATTACAAATACTTAGTATCAAATATTTAAATTATTTCCATGCACGTTTGCTTCAACTTAAACGTATACCAAATTCCTACAAACATAAAATTCACAAAATAACTATCATTTAATTAAAATATCACTAAACCGTGTACACGCCGACTTATTTTTACTTAAAAAGAACATCCCAGAATTGCACAAAAATGGCATTGCGCACACCCTTCACTATATCCATGTACACTGCTTTTTTCTCATAAATTCGAAAAATTTCACGAAAATACATGACAATTTTCTCAATCTTTAAACCCGGTAAAAAGAACATATATGAAATTACCTGATCGCGAAAAAGTAATGAACATTTCCACATATAAAATAAATAAAATATCCAAAAACTTTTACCTCTAAATCATCTATTACATTATACACGTCACCAACGAATTCATACCGCAACCATTACAAATACTTATTGTCAGATATTTAATTTATTTCCATGCACGTTTACTTCAACTAAAACGTATACCAAATTCCTACAAACATAAAATTCACAAAATAACTATCATTTAATTAAAATATAATTAAATTCAAAAACACTACTTAAAATATAAATGAGCACATACATTAAATTAATACATACATAAATACCCATTTCGAATTCACTTTAGTTACGGCCATGGGATCCAAAAATTCACGAACACTGTTTCACACAACACAGAATAAAGCCAAATACAAAATTTCCAGATTTTTTCCCCGATTTCCCCCCTTTTTCCGATTAAACAACCGTAATTCGTCCATTAATATCACATGACATATCCCATGATCTCTCATTTCCCTCACAGAAAATAATGCGTAATCGGAACTGAGTACTGCTCACATTATTACCAAAGTGCCAGGTAGTAACCTTTATCGCCTCCAAAATGTCGCCAAACTACCAGTTACCATATTGTAAAGATCAACCAGATGCACTTCTGTAAGCGTTTACAATAAAGTGCCCTTTCATACTTTTGGCAATATAATGCGAACAATGACGCCAAAAAACAGTGTTTCCAATATGCCTGCCATCCAAAACAACAGCAAAAAAGTTTGTTAAATGCTCACCTTTTATAATCTTGGCTACGTCTCATCATCAGCATCAGATGACTGCTGTACATACATAATGCAATTATGTAGTTCAGACCTGATCCTCCTTGTCCTAATTGGGGTACTGGCGAAGCCACATAAACTCCGTAAAAGTAAGAATACAAAATCTCGTCCGACGACTGGGGAAGGCCACGCTTGCGAAAACTTGCACTTAATATGGCTCCACATGCCCTTAGTGGTGTTGGTATGAGTGTCTTTCTTGCAACAAATTCGCTCATAGCTGTCCAGTTAATCTTTAAGCTCGACCAGACGCATCTATCGCACAACGTTCATAGCAAGAAGTAATTAAATCTGCATTCATACACAATTCAGTTCTAGCTTTCTTACCCTTTCGCTCTAAGTCATGAAAAAAAAAACCAGTATTTATCTTATCAAACATAGTTCTCCGCAGAAATGATGGTACAATGATTAATTAGAACCAGCCAGGTAATGAAAATCAAAGGTCAATTAACGGCAATTAAAATTCTAATGATTCAAAATGCGTTATTTGTAAGACATAATACATGTCCTACAAATTATGTAGCATTCAGTCACTAAACCAAAAAGTTTCTATCAGATTAAATGGAAGAAAAACATTGGCATATAATACAAAAATGGCTGCCATAACAGGAGGGAAACGGAGTTGATTCTAGGTAACCAGGAAATCCAAAAAAGGGCATCCTTTTCTACACTAGAACCTGCACTTCATGCAAGGGCGAATAAAAGAAAAATAAAGAATAAAATACAATAATAATAATGAATATTTATATAAGGATTAACAATTAATATGTGCAGAAAATAATTGGTAATTTTTCATAAAGGTATGAAAGAAAACACATGGCAACCCACAAACAAATTCTTTTAATCTCGTAACAGGTAGCGACTAACAGTTTGGAAACAATTGTAATAAAAATTAAAGCAGTATAATGATTTCTTCAATTTGAAATGCTGAAGCTTAGAAGCCTGTGCATTCGAAATGTAAAACCTGTGGCAAATCTTAACACACCTCAGTTTCAGAGCACAAAACATCACTTTGTTAAACATTCTACGTTAGAAGACTAAAATTACTAACTGCTTACATTACTAAAAGATGAATACATAAATTATATTGTAAACACGGTCTTTTCCAAGTAATTCGTCACCTAAAAATTTAATAATAAAATCAATTGTCAGCATGGTAAAAAAAAAAAATTAACTAAATGTCACAAACATTTAATGTTTAGAATCTTGATGGAAAGTATGTCCTTTGAAAGGAAGCGCTTTTTAGAATATATATATATATATAAACATATACAGGTCAGAATTTCAGAATCTTTTCGTGTAAACATATCTTTGGAAACATCTAATGCAAAAGAAAGTTAAAATACTCACTGCGAATAGCCCAGGCTTTGGAATTTCTTATCGCGATAATCAGACTGAAGATGGACTCATTGCAATCTGGTGTTATCTTGAGGAATTGCGATAATTTATTTAGTGCATTAACCGTGCGGGTATTTATCAAAGGATCCATTGCCTCCTTCAGCAGCTCATCAATTTTTGACCATTTAAAGTCGTAACTGCTTTCTTTTTTCATATCTTCAAATACTTTGTCCAACAACGAATTAAAATTCGATTTTGTCAATACGCCTACAATCACACATTGCAATATTAAGCACAGTTTAAAGGAATATGCAGCTACCATATCAAAGAAATCTTTATAACAATTTTAAGATGATTTTTTTCCAAGCTCGCATGCACGAGAGACTATTCGTAAGAACTGTGAAAGGTAAGGCAAAAAGTGACGCAAATGCCAAGCATTGGAGATGCCATCAAGTTTCACTTTAAACATGCTAAATATACTTCGTAAAACATCTGTGCGGCAGGATGAGAAATAGCAAATAAAAATTCTGTCGTTGCTGATGATGTCATGTAATACATAAGATAGCTAAGTGACGTTTTAGAAAATAGAATTACTGCTAAGATTGTTTTCCTTTCACATGTATAGTGTAACAGAATAAAACTAGTTTTCGAAATCATAAATTAACGTATTCTGGGAAATACAGTGGATGGACAAAAATATGGAAACACCTTGTGAAATGCATGTTTGAAAAGAAAGATTGATTTTAATGAAATATGTAGGTGGCGCTGGCGTTTTTGACTACTGACGCCACCTATACAACTTCGTAAATGTGCTAAACAGTTCAGTTGTTGTCGGAGTACTGTTATATGAGGTTGTCATTGCATTATGTCAGAGTTAACAGACTTCGAACGTGGGCAAATTGTTGGAGCACGTATGGTAGGTGCTTCCGTAAGCAAGGTAGCCGAGGTGTTTAGTGTTTCAAGAGGTACTGTATCGAAGATTTATTCCGCATATTTGAAAAGCGGAAAAACATCATCTGCTAAATCACAGCGCGGACGAAAGTGTGTCCTGAGTGATCGTGACAGACGATCATTAAGGGCAATTGTGACGAAAAATAAGAAGACCACAGCTGCAAAAGTTACTGCTGAAATGAATGTTGTGTTACCGAACCCTGTGAGTACCAAAACAATTAGAAGGGAGCTTCATAAACAGGGAATTGCTGGCCGTGCTGCAATTGAGAAGCCACTCATCAGTGATGCTAATGCCCGTAACAGGAAAAGGTGGTGTTTAAGTCATAAAGCCTGGACTATAGAGCAGTGGAAGCGAGTAATATGGTCTGACGAGTCTTCTTTCACATTGTTTCCCACTTCTGGCCGAGTTTACGTCTGGAGAACGCCATCTCAAGCCTATAATACAGACTGCTTGTTGCCAAGAGTGAAACATGGCGGGGTTCTGTTATGGTTTGGGCAGCCATATCGTGGTTCTCTGCTAGCCCCATGATAACTGTGTCAGGGCACATGACTGCCAAGACTTATGTGAACATTTTGGCCGATCAAGTTCATCCCATGGTACAAACTTTGTTCCCCGATGGTGATGGTGTCTTCCAAGACGACAAAGCCCCTGTTCACACAGCTCACATTGTCCAGGACTGGTTTTCTGAGCACGAGGATGAGTTGTCCCATCTCCCCTGGCCACCACAGTCACCAGACCTGAATATTATCGAACCTTTGTGGTCTACATTGGAACGGAAAGTGCGTTCTCGTTATCCACCGCCAACATCGTTATCTGAACTTGCCACCGTTTTGCAGGAAGAATGGTGTAATATTCCCTTCGCAAACATACAGGAACTGTATTTATCCATTCCGAGAAGACTACAAGCTGTTTTGGATGCCAACGGGTTTCCTACACCATATTAAGCAAAGAAACATGTTTTTTTAAAGGTGTTTCCATATTTTTGTCCAACCCCTGTAAGTCTTTCTTATTAAGGTAAACAATCTCATCGAAATTAATCCATTTAGTTCAAGTTTTCTCAAACTTTTCTTCACTTCCGATGTCTTCCTATCTACTGCTATGATTTTCTTGTTAAAAAAAAAAGATTTAATATGCAGAGAACTGCAATTTCTGGTGTTTACTACAAAATATATTAACATTTTTTACATTATATTACATGTATATAACCAAAACCAAAATTTAAAAATTAATAAATAGCCTTGAGATATTTTTTAATGCATTGACATGAAAAGTAGTATTTTGTCATACATAAGTAAGCAGTCTAATTATTTAGTTATTCGCTTAAGAGCAATTAAGCTTTAGAAGTTAATTTAAAATAAAATTTTCAAGACCTTCTTATATACTCCCAACGTAATCGACTTCTACTCTGAGAAGCGTTGTTGGCTACAGTTGCAATGGAATTCCATATTTTTATGGACTAAAAACGAAATCACTATTCACTGAATCGTAAAAATTTCAATGTAGTTTGAAATATGAAACGAAAAAATTAAAATGAAGGGAATTAGCTAAATTAATTTGCTTGAAGAGAGTCTGCTAAATTAGCAACAAAAATTATCAAAATATACTCGACGCTCGATATAGCGATCATTTTCTCACAGCTACCATCCCATGACAATGAGCAGTACGAAATCTCCTTTTGATGAGAGTACATCACACCACGATAGTTCTTTACAGACTACATAAAATATATTATCATACCTCTCGATGAAATTTCGAAAACATGAACATGGCTATTTAAAAATATTTCCAGATATTTATGATTTATGGCATTTTTCATGTGAAGATTTTACGTATGTTTTTTTTTTTTTTTCTTCTAATGGCAAATTGTAAACAATTGCAAATGTAACCCAGTCCATTAATCTATACAAGGCCGGATGTGAGGGTCTATTTATTATGGAGGCACCTAATAGATAGACTGCCATCGCCTTTCCTATGAAGGGACGGACAGTTACAACCATTCCTTCTCCGGGACTCGAACCCAGACCCTTCGGCATCGCAGTCCGCTTCCCTGACCACTACACCGACTGGGCAGCATTTTACGTACGTAAGTTACAAAAACTTACTTATGTATCCTATTGCACATGTCCCAAGGTATTTTAATCAACTATTAATATTTTTAACTAAACGGATATTATATAAATTCAGCTAAATTTCTACAGAATGAAAAAAACTTCAAATTTTCAATAATTTGGAAGTGATAGTTTTCAGTTAAAAGTAAGACTGAACGATAATTTTTTAAACTGCATTTTATGTTTATTTTTAGGAGTATTATGAAAGATATAAAAAAAAAAGTATTCTTAGTATCACTGTAACAAAACTATTTTTGCAGTATCGAAACATTGTCTACGCTGATTAACAGTGTACGTGGAAAGGCATACAATATCATTCATAAACTTTTCCCATTAAAGTGACTCAGGACTCAATCTTGCCCGAAAGTTAAGTCTTTATAAAGCTATTATCCATTCCATCTTTACTCAGGCAACACCAGTCTGGGCAAGTGCGAAAGGAAATGAAATAAAGAAGTTGCAAGTTTGGGAAAATAAGTTGCTGCGGATTATCAGTGGGGCCGCTTACTTCATACAAAATGAAAATTTTCACCATGATTTTCAAACTGACACGATAAAGGAACACCTGGTAATCTTAATATGAAATTCTATAACAAGGCAGCAGCGAATACTACTATAAACTTCACTGAACTTCTAAATTATAAAATCTTAGTGGACGATATTTTTCATTTGTCCGTATGCTGCACATCTTCGGCATTTACGGCACATCGGCTATAGCACATCTTCTATCATCTACAATTGCATCTACGGCTATAGCACATCTTCTATCATCTACAATTGCATCTACGGCTATAGCACATCTTCTATCATCTACGACGGCATCTACAGCTATTGCACAACTTCGGCATCTACGGCAAGAAGGATTTGTCACCTGACGTACCGTTTCATCCCTTAGCTACTCACAATCGAACTGCTTCATGATGTAAATAGCATAGTTATGCTTCACGGTGTAAATTCTTAAATACTATATATTTTCCTCCATCGTGTGTTGCCTGGATTGGGCACCGTGACCTGGAAGCTGACAGTACTCTCTAAGTTGGGAACACTCGTTTTATCCAAAGTGGCAGTCATGATACTTTACTGTTGGTTCGGGTTGACTCGAGGCAAAAAAAATCTGCTGAAGGATGCTATGGATTTATTTCTTTTCAACTAAAAGAACTTGTAGTTCTTTCAAAAATCTAATTTCCATTTAGAAACGTCTAACTTTTGTGTTTGTGTATGAAAAACCAACTAAAACAGAATTTATAGTAGCGAGTCTACAGGAATGTGAATCTAGTGTATGAGTTAAAAGGAACAATGAAACTGGATGAACTGCAAAACGAGTTATTATGCACATTTTAACTTCTTTTTTGTACTGTCACCTGTAAAATATTCTATTAAAGTGTTCGGATATTTTCGAATTATTGAATGGACTCAAATGAAGAGATAAACAACTGAAATTATATACTTCGCTAGTATTATTAATAGCTTAATACAATTATACTAAATATTCTATTAAAATATTATCAAATAAGCTTGCATTACTCTTGTACAGAAACTTATTACCAAACATTTTCAAAAAAAAAAAAAAAAAAAAAAAAAAAAAAAAAGCGGTTTTGCTCTTTTAACTTCCCGAATCTGGTAACTCATTTAACTGTAAAATTAAATTATCTAAAATTATGTTAAGTATTCACGTAGATTAGTTTATAAGGACTCCACCAGAGGCCGAGTGGATAAGACCCCTGAATATTGGTAGTTCGAACCTACGCGAACGAGCTTGCTGCAAGGTTGTTTTTCGTGATTTTCCTATATGTAACATGAATACGTGGCATTTTTCCTTTGAAAATCCTCCACAAAGGCATCCTTCCCCTTAGGGTGGGTAGCCCTCGTCTGTTTTGCAATATTCAAATAATCTAACCGAACCTTCCATTGTAAGACAGCTTTTGCTATCCAAAGTTCCTCAAAAGCTAGAGTTCCACTAGAAATGGTGAGGGATTCCCAAGAAAGAGTGATAAGTATGTTAATCACAATTAAATGTATGGCTAAATCGTTGTATTGTTTATATTTGTGATCCTAAGATGTTGATAAAATTTCAAGAGCTCTGCAAGGGTAAAGTGTTTAGAAACAATGTTGGAATTTATACACAAATGAATATGAAAATAGAACAATTTAAATTAAATTGAGTGTCTGTGAAATTACTTTAGTCAAAATACATAAATCACCATTCTTTATTGGTTTTTTGCAGCCAGATTTGGACAATAATTTTTTCAGGAAATTTAAACCCAATGATAGCTGAACTGTTAAAAAAAGTAGAAGCTGTTACTAGGTACACTTAATCACAGCTAGCTTGATATTTTAGTTTCA